GACTACAGTACTCCTGACCCAAGCCATGGTATTTTCATTAATCTCATATGATTGCAGAAGTTGGATAATGAATAAGGAAGACAGTAGAAAAACTGATACATTTGAGCTATGGTGTTGGAGGAGAATATTAAAAGTACCATTGACTGCTAAAAGAACAAACCAATCTGTGTTGGAAGCAGTACAACAGAATGCTCCCTGGAAGCCAGGATGGCCAGACGTTGCCTCTCATATTTTGGACATATTGTCAGGAGGGACCAGTCCTTGAATAAGGATGTCATGTTTGGTAAATTACAAGATCCCCAATGAGATGAATTGGTACTGTGACAGTAACAATGGGCTCAAATGTAGCAATGAATGTGAGGTTGGAGCAGGACCAGGCAATGTTTTGTCCTGTTGTGTGTAGGGTTGTTATGAGTCAGTATCCACTCAATGGCACCTAAAAACAACAATAAAATAATATATGTAATTGATTATCACATAATCAATTACATATTGTATTAATGAATCAATTTATTTACATATAATCAAATCATTTGTTTCTGATCATTGCTCTCCTCTTTTCCATACAATAACTTAAGACGACCAGGAAACAAATTAAATTATATTTATTGCTCTTTTGCAAAGTGGTAGATCACATACTAGAGGAATCATGGATGTCTCACCTAACAAAGAAAGTCATAAGTTTACCATAGGATTTTGGGTAAGGTAGAGATTAGGTGAAATGTAACTGAAGCAATACTATGACACGATCCTTGCAAAGCAGAGCTATATGTAAAGGGGTGAACATCAGATATTAATACAAAACCAACATATTGTCCTATTACTTTCTTAACTACAAAAATAAGATAGAGGTGAAATGTTGCATCCCAAATCCCCTAATTTGAAGCAGTGCACCTAGACTGGAAATCAAGATTGCTTCTCTGTGTCAAAGTGATTTAGATACTTCCAGGTAAAAACAGGATATTTTATTTACTGATATAATTTTAGACAATTAATTTTGTATACTCTAGCAGTTCAAACTCACCAGCTACTCCTCGAAAACCTTATACATGGTCACAATGTGTCAGAACCAACTCCATGGCACTTCACAAGAATAACATTAGACAGCCAAGTTTTCTTGGTGAGCAAGAAAATAACTATCACTCAATCAAGGAAGTTGTTTTGACACTTGAAAATTGCAGTGTGTCCTTGGCAGAAATATTTCTGTCCTGCTGAATTCATATCAGGATTTTCCTGTGTCTTTTAATCCAGCCATTGTTCATTCTGCCATTCACAGTAAGAATTCAATGATTTTAGATTAGCCATTAATCTTAATGTCCCATTGGCAGCTCTCAAGTCCTCTGTTTTGCAATAGCTCTTCTGAAAGCATTTTTTACATCTTTGTTCCTTAAGCTGTAGATCAAGGGATTGAGCATGGGTGTGATCACAGTGTAAAACACTGCGATGATCTTGCCCCCTGCACGGGAGGATTTTGACTGAGGTCTCATGTACATGAAGATGGCAGTTCCATAGAGTAAGGCCACCACTGTCAGATGGGAAGCACAAGTGGACAGTGCCTTGTGCCTCCCAGAAGCTGACTGTATTCTGAGCACCGATTGAAGGATTCTGACATATGAAACAACAATGAGGAGAAAAGGAATGAAGACAATGATGATACTAAAGACAAAAACAACTAGCTCAGTAAGTGAAGTGTCAGTGCAAGCCAATCGAAGCACAGAAGGTACCTCACAAAAAAAGTGATTGAGGATATTGGGCCCACAGTAAGGCAGACTCAAAATGAAGACATTGATAACCATGGAACTCAGGAAACTGCTAGACCAAGAAATGGCTGCTAGTTGGACACAGGTGCTTCGGTTCATAATGACAGTATAATGAAGAGGATGGCAAATGGCTACGTATCTGTCATAAGTCATGACACCAAGGAGAACACATTCAATCATTCCAAAGGAAAGGGAAAAGTACATTTGAGTAGCACATCCAGAGAACGGGATGGTCTTCTTCTTCCCTATCATATTGGACAGCATTTGTGGGACATTAGTGGATGTGTAGCAGATGTCCAGAAAGGATAAATTGGTGAGGAAGAAGTACATGGGGGTTTGGAGATGAGGCTCTATCTGGATAAGAGTGATGATGATAATATTCCCAGTCACAGTTAATAAATAGAAGAATAAGAACATAATGAAGAGTATGAGCTGAATATTTGGCTGAGAAGAGAGTCCCAGGAATACAAATTCTGTCACAGTGAAATTTGTTTTTAACATATTTATATTCCTCTTAAAATACCATCCACCCAAATGAAGATAAAATCAAATGCCTATATGTCCAAGAGATGGAAACTAAAAGCATTAGTAAGAAAGCTAGGATATTCTTGATGTGATATATTTTGAGTATCTTAGTTTAACTACAAATGGAAAAAAAAAAAATCTGCCTTTGTAATCAATAGTCTCTGGATTAGATAAGAATATCGGACTTAAATACTAACTGGTTGAACAGATGCATTTTTTTTTTTCCTTTTCTGAAATGCAATGTTTTTTTGACTGTTAGTAGTATTTCCATAACTTATTTACTCTTCAACGCCTTACTCACAGAGCTCTTACTTCAAAACTACCTGATTCTGAATTTGTTCTCACTTAATAGAGCAGTGAAGGGCACTATATCATGTACTATCCCCCGAGCTTGTAAGGAAAGGCAGAAAAAGCAACCTGTGACTCTTCTGAATCATCCAGATGAAACTTCTAGTGCTTAGGTACCCTAAAGATCAAGGGTTATGCACAACTAGAAACATAGTCATAGAGTTCAATGATTACATATTTTACAACCTACATGATTTTCATGTTATAGGATCTAGGCTAGGAACGTTAAATATAAAATGAAAATAATGATAAAATTAATTTTATGAAAGGTTTTAATGATTAAACAAAATCAGACAAAGCCATTAAGACAATGGTTACACCCAAGAAGTAATCTATGAATATTAACTATTATCAATAATCCTTTCAGCATATAATAATGGTACACCTATCTAGCCAAAATTCCCTTCTTTAAAAATGTCAATGTCAGAAAAATATTAATAAAAAGGATCCATACAACTTGAACTTTCTATGTCTGCTCACTGAGGCCTTCTTAGTCCTCAATCTGTGCCTGTTTGCCTTACTTTATACACAGAGTTAGTATGTTTAATTTACCTCTGTCTCTTAGAATGTTTAAAGGAGCAACTTAGAAAGATACAGGGTAATGAAGAATCTTAAAGGAAGGCACAGTTATAATACCAAGAAGCTATCGTTCGTTCATCCTTTTATTCATTCATTCCTTTTTGTTGTCCTGTATTTTTGTACTTTTTGATGCTTTCAAAGTATCTTTTTGACAATATCATATGTACAAGATTCTAGGTATGCACTGCAAAACATAAAAGACTTCTCTATATTTTCATAGACCTTACAGCCAAGTGGAAATTTGCAACAAAAGAAAAAAAGAAATAAGTTTCAGGCCATTTTCTATTGATTAGTGTGTTATATGTGTTAGAGGATATTCTTATTATTTTTTAAAATCAGAGCTTTACAAACCAAATCATTCTTGAATAAGTAAACTAAATTCTCTGAAATATGTTGCCCAGAAATAAGAGAAAGATGGATATGGAAAGAAATGAGAGAAAAGTAACGTCAGAGCCCAAATTTTATTAAGAATGGGCAAGAGAGGTTAAAAAGTCTTCATCCAGATCTTCCCCAAAACAGGCAGAGAGTTCTGCTGTAAATAAGAAATAATTTGGTGATTTTTAGGAGTGATCACAATGATAACAAATAACATTAACAGTTAATTTCTCAGTTGACAATTTAATGCCACATAATCAGTGGACTATAAAAGTGTGGGGAAGCACAAAGAATCCACCATCAACAGGTAGACTCCCCCAACATGTCAGGTGAAAAGATTTTCAATATCTCTGTGCCACCCATAATTCCCACCAGCATTTTCCTCATCCTTCAGATGAGAAAACAGTAGCACATACCTTGTGAGGTATGTTGATTAACGAGTTAAATGAGATAATACATCTCAGATGCATAAAATAGACTTGGACACTTAGTAAGGGTTCAATGCATGTTCACCATTATCATTATGAAATTAGATCTTCATTGGAACTTTGTTAAGTAAGCAGAGAAGGAATTATCATTATCACATTGAGTTATAGACAGACTAAGGCTTGAATGTATTAAATAACTTTTCCAAGAACACTTAAGGAAGTATTGGACATGTGTGTATGCACCTACAACATACATACACATAGCATGTCGATAAAGTAATAAAATCACTGCCAGATGTAATAAACCTCACCTTCATCTTCATTCATGTAAATGTAAAATGTTGTGTCCATCAAAATTTTGGGCCAACTTCTAAACACTGTTTATACTTTGAAGATTCAATAAAAGCCATCGTTCCCAGCCTTAGTCTGAAGTTTCTTAAAAAAACATTTGCAGACACTTTATGGCCAGCTGTAGCCCATTCAATTGTGTAGTTTTTCAAGATTTATAACTGTTTCCATCCCTATTAGAACACAGAGAGTAGTTCCTCCTTAATAAAGTTGGAAATAACAAAGAAGCTTTGTCTGAAAATTTGTCTTTTCAACCCATAAACTCAACACCTCCCAGTATGAAGCTCACCAAATTAAAGACAAAGTTATCAAAATCTTAGATTAATTTTGTGCATACAAATTCCCAGTGAATTTTATACATATGCCTCAATAAAGCAAGAAATTCCTTAGAAAACTGCACTCCCCTCCATTTTATCTCACAAGATGAAAGTTACTCTTGCCAAAGGCCTTCTTTCAACTTGTCTACCTGGAAAATTCCTATTCAGTACTTTAAATTCTAGGTATCCATGTTATCCTCTTTGAAAACCTATTTTTTTTCCCATGCAGAGTTAATTGGAATTTTTGCCTAACCATTTTTGTCCTTTGATACACTATTTTCATCATTATGTATGTAGTTTTATAATACATAAATACATACTTTCATATTTATATGTTTTGAATGAATACAAGTTTAATTACTAGTGTATCTCTTGATTAATTTAGGATTTTTAGGTGTTTTATTTTTTGTTTGTTTGTTTATACACTTTCCAATAAATAATAAAGGAGTCCTGGTGTGGCACTGTGGGTAATTGCGCTGGACTGCAATGTTGGTTTGAACTGCAAGGTCAGTGGTTCACGCTCAAGAGTTGCTCCTCAGAAAACCCTATACAGGATCACTATGGGTCGGAACCAATTCTATGGAATTTAACAAACAAAAAAAAAAAACAAGGAATACATAATAAAGGATCTCTGGAACTAGTTTCTAACTGAAAGGTCAATGTCAAAACCCATTCATAGCACCGAGTGAGAAAAGACCTGGTGATTTGCTCCTATAAAGATTAGTCCTGAAACTCTGATTGAGCAATTCTTCTCTGCTCTATAGCATCACTGTGAGTCAGAAGTGACTTGATGGCCCACAGCAATAACAACAGTACATAATAAACACTATCAAATCTTGATGAAATTCAGATGAACTGTTCCTATTTCCTATTATCATTGATTAAGTCTTTTGCTCAGATTAAAAATAAATTTACCTTCATAGTAGCCATGATTTTAGGCCCATCTAAATTTCTAATAGATTATTTTTCTAAACAACTTGGCCCAGTGCTCAAAAAATCATCAAATTAATTTTTTTAAAAAAGCTAAAAATCATATTTTACTCAGGCTGAAGTTATTTTGGTATACATAGACAAGTTGTTGTTTATAAGTGCCTTTGAGTCAGTTCTGACCCATAGTGTCCCTGTATAGGGTTCCCAAGGAGCAGCAGGTGAGTGTAAACCACTAATCTTGCAGTTCAAACGACTTTGCAGTCCAGTGCATTAACCGGTAGCGTCACAGCAGGATTCATATATAGACTTAGAATATTAATATATAAGAATCACATATAGAATAGGATATTAAAATTTTGCTATTAGGATAAATGACTCATTTCTCCACTCTTCAGGTCAAAAAAAGAAATCTGAAAATATCTCTCATACCAAACTGAAAAGTCTAACATTCCTTCATAAATTTGAATTTTCAAAATCTTACTCCTTAACCTTCAGAATTCAAACCATTTATGGAAACGAATAATTATTTTCACCAAAATACAATTCATTGGTTTATTAACTTTGGTAGATAAGTTTGATAGGTAGAAGTCATAATGTTGGTCTTTGGGTAACACTTCATTTCCCTGGTATATTTTTATATTGACCATAGGCTCTGCACAAGGATGACCTAAATATGAATTTTGACTTCACCATTTCTCTTCTGTGTCACTTGGACAACTTTATGGCCTTCTTAAGGCACACTTTTCTTGTATGTGAAAAAGGAATTATATTAGTACTAATTCTTATGACTATTTTTGATGATTATATTACAAGGTGCATTTAAAGTTTTAACATATTACCTGACATATAGTAACAATTTAAAAAGTATAGCTACCATTCTACCACTCTATGAACATCAGATTTGTGCCGTTTGGTAGAAATATACTTTTTCTCTAACAGTGGAAGAAAGACATTAAGAAGTAATTATATCAAGAGTATTTGACATATAGTGCAGAGGCACATAACATCTACACAAAGTCATAGAATCCCGGCATGCATATAGCATTGCCAACATTTCTGATGTGTTTTCATTTATTCTCACCAATGAATACAACTTAATTTTTAAAAATAATTTCCAATGACCAAGATGTTTCAGTACTAAAAGGATAAAGATACCATCTTAAGCCTTTGTGCCAACCTAATTAAGTTAGAAACTTAGGAAAGTCTATTAAGTAACCCAATAACGGCTTTGTCATGAATCTATCAATGAACTATGAAAATTATAAACAGAAAAAGAATTAGAAAATTTTAAAATAAAAACATAAGTTACAGTCCTTAGACATCACAGTGTATTTGATAAATTGCCATTTGGGGTAGTCTTATTACACAACTTTTCATCAACATCTAATTGGAAACTGATTTTGATAAGGCAAAGGAGATAAGGAAAAGAACTGTTACATCTCTTTCTAAAAATCAAAGGATATAGAAGAGTCATCATTTGTGTTCAAGTCTGCCTAACTCCAAATATCCTATAATTAAATAACAGCTCATATCATTTATTTATTTAATTGACACCTCAGTAGACTACTATGAATACAGACACACCAGCAAAAACATACCCTAAGGCCATTTGGAATGTGTGGAAGTAACCTGCTTCATCCCTCTCTTCACCACACATGCAAGCAAATAAAACTCCCTAAAAGACAAAGCAGATATTACGTTCATGTGCAAAACCACAACTTCCATAGAGGTAGCATAAATCTCCTTTGATGATATCCATTGGTGGGGTACTATTATAGTCCAAATCAATCATTTTATAGGAAAAAAAAAAAAAGATAAATGCAGAGCCAGTGAAATTCCTTGTTCATATGCAGTTTCTCATTTGAAGGTCTTAGACTGGGTTTTAGATTCTTGAGGGATAATGTCCCAGACCAATAATTAAAGTGAAATTAATTGTCCTAAGGAATTCCTGGTTGATTTGTTTGTTAAATTAACATTTTCCACAGTTTCAATGCTGCATGACTTTCAGAATAACCACTGTGATTGCATTCTGAGGTATTGCCTAACATTAGTTCTGAAGAAAATGGGCACGTTTGCCACAAGAATTGCAAAGCATAAAGTTTACTCTCTGAAACCACTTCATGTATATACAAAAACAATTCCTTTTTTTTAATTAACAGAAAAGTAGAGATGGTTATACTTGTACTATGATCTTAATAACTCACATAGCAAATTTGAACCATAGATTCTCTTCTCCCTGCTCATAACAACTCTGAACCCATCTCCTACTGCATCACAGCTAAATATGCATCATTATACAGATGATGGCAAGGCTAGTACTGGAATTCTGTAACCTTGTTACCTCAAACATCTTGTCACTTCACTTTTCAGGAGTTTCAGTGTAGTCACCTTTAAAAAGTCATAAAATTATCTACAAGAGACAGAAAGGTAGAGGTAGGGAGGGAATCTTAAAAATTAACATTATTAAACCTTTCCGTTGACAAGGTGTGGTGCTATGGGATAAAGCACTGGGCTGAAAGTTCTGTTGGAACTATAAGTTCGGTAGTTCAAACTCAGAAGCTACTCCTTAGAAACCCTATACAAAGTCATTGTAAGAACAAATTTGATAGCAATGAACAAATACAATTGACAAGGAACTTGGTGAGCCAAGTAACCTTTCCACATATTCTATCTCTTAATCTGATGATTCTCAAATATTGAATACACTGTAATTTCGGTGGTTGTTGTTGGCTTGTTGATCTTTTTGTTTACTTGTTTTATATCAATTCTCAAGATTTACCCTCGAAATTATATCAGAATCTTTGTGCACAGGACTTGGACATAGATATTTTTACAAAGTCCCCAGGTGAGCTCTTAAAATCTTATTTTACAAAAAGTATATATATGTCAGGGTCCAGCCTCGACAAGGGAGTGGGCACATGAAGGAGGGAGGTCTGAAAGGCGAGAGAGAAAAAATTGCTCAGAGACAGAAGTTGATGCAAGCTGACAGGCAGGCAGTCATGCTGCTGTCAAGAATGCATGCATAACTAGCCATACCTCAGTCTTTTATTATCATTACGAACAAAGGAAGTGAAACACAAAGCACAGGTTGATGTGATTATTCATTTGTAACAGCATACAGTGATTCACAGAGTTTTCTATACAATCATTTTTCTGAGAATATCAGCCTGTTCCCATTTTCCCAGACATTTGTCTTCCTGAGCCAAAAGTGCAAGCAAGCAATTAATGGTTTAAACTATAACTTCATGGGCCCCTGTGGCCCAGAGCAGCAACTTGCGGTTTCCTGTGAGCCAATGTCTGTTTCTATATTAAATTTTTCGTGGTTATAAGTAACAGAAAAGCCTAAAGAGGGTCGACTTAAGTGCACATAGCTACCATGTAAAGCAGAACCCCCAAGGAGAGCATCAGGATCAAAATGATCATGCCCAGGGGCGGTTTGCGGGGGCTGCCACCATTTCCCTTTAGTCCCTTTTCATGGTCCCAAAACATTTGTTCCTGTTCATGAGTCATTTGGAGAGGTTTTACTGGTTCAGCCCTGGGAACAAGTTCAGTTTTATTATTGTTCATGGAAATCAGCATTTCATGCTTTCGTTTTATGTCAAACATGACTGAGTAATTATTCAGTGGGCAATCATTACATTTGTCCCAACTTGCCACCGCCTGTTTCTCAGAAATGTCACTTCCCATAACTTCATGCACAGCCCGCACTGCCAAGTCAGTGACATTTACATTGGTACCATTAACTAGTACTCTACGTGTATTATTACTAGAAACAATGACTTTCCCAGAAGCCACAATAACCGGAGTTAAGAGCATGAAAATCAGATAAAGAATAAACAGAACAGTAGCAAGAACAAGCTGTATAGCCATAGCCAAGTGATATGTTCACCAAAGGCCATGAGCCAGGGATCTCAGGAGTTTTACGTCCTGGCCCACAGGGCCCATGACTTGCAGATCCGGAGCAGGCCCCTGGGCCAGAGCCTTGTCCGTCTTCTCAAGGGGCCGACTCCATGGCACATAACAACAACAACAACAACAATATATATATATATCTATATATAGATATATAGATATATCTATATATAGATATAGATATATATATATATAAAATATCATTTTTGGTTATACTCAAAAGTCAAAATATTTATTCTCTTGAGGAATTCCACATTGTCACTTCTATATTTTTTCTACTATACTACTATATGTCACCAGAGTCCTTGCATGGCACTGCAGGTTAATGTGCTGGACTGCAAAGTTGGTTTGAACCCCAAAGTCTGTGGTTCAAACTCACTAACTGCTACTCAGAAATCCTATACAAGGTCACTATGGGTTGGAACCAACTTGAAAGCACTTAACAACAACAACAATGCTATATGTCAGGAGTCCTTGTGTATCTATGTCAGATATAGCCAATGATACTGAAAGAATTCAAAGGTGTTTTGAAGACATTGCAAAGAGCAAAACACCATGAGTTGATGGGATACAAACTGAAATCTTTGAACAAAGTAATGTGGCCCTCAAGGCTCCCTCATCTATGCCAAGAAATTTGGAAGACAACTACCTTGTCAAATGACAGAAAAAGATCTGTATTTGTGCCCATTCCAAAGACAAACGACCCAAAATAATGCAAAAATCATCACACTATATCACTGATATCCCACATGAGTAAAATTTTGCTAAAGGTAATATAGAAATGGCTACAATCATACAATGACAGAGAACTTCCAGAGGTTCATACAAGTTTCGGAAGATCTGGAAAGAGGGATATCATTGCTGACATGAGATGGATCTTGGCTGAAAGCAGAGAAAAATGCATAGATTGGAAAAGAAGTGAAATATTTTTAAGTACTGATCCCAGAATCCACATAAAAAATCTAATAAGAGTGTTGAAAGGAACAGATATATAGAAACCATATTTGATAAAGATCGAAGACCTCAGCTGTCAGTATGGGTTGCATCTCAACGTAAAGAAAATAAAAATCCTCACCACTAGACTAATAAACAACAATATAACTAGAGAAAAGATTGAAGTTGTCAAAGACTTCATTTTGCTCGGATCAACCATCAACAATCATGAAAGTAGCAGTCAAGAAATTAAATGATGTATTTCAGTAGGAAATTTTCTGCTGCACAAAGTGTTGAAGAGCAAAGATGTCAGTCTGAGGACTAAGATCTTCCTGATGCAAATCATAGTATTTTCAATAACCTCATATGCATGTGAATGTCGGACAGTAAGGAAGGCAGAAGAATTGATGAGTTGAGTTATGAATACTGACAGTACCTTGGACTGCTAAAAGAACAATCAGATCTGTGGTGGAAGAAGTACAGCCAAAGTTGGAAGCTAGGATGACCAGAATTCATCTCTCATATTTTGGACACGTTATTATTAGGGACCAGTCCCTGGAGAAGGATGTTGTTGTTATTGTTAAGTGCTGTCTAGTCGGTTCCAAACCATAGTGACCATGTTTAGGGTTGCCGAGGAGCAGCTGGTGACCTTGAATCAATAACCTTGTAGTTCAAACGACTTTGCAGTCCTGCGCATTAATCCACAGTGCCACTCCAGGACTCCCTGGAGAAGGATATCATTTTTAATAAAGGGGAGATTTGGAGAAAAAGAGGAAGTCCCCAATGAGATGGATTAGCACAGTAGCAGCATCAGTGGGCTCAAATGTAGCAATAATTGTGAAGTTGGTCCAAGACCTGGCAGTTTTTCATGCTGTTGTATCCACTATCAGTTGGTATCGACTCCATGGGCCCTAACAACAACTCTTTAACTGATCACACATGGAGGGGATTGTAATAATTGCAATGATACAAAATATGATTTATTAAATGTAAAACTTATACTCTTCCTTGTCAGCTCTCACTCAATTCACAATAAAAACTTAAGGGGGGAAAAAAAAAAAAAAGGCAAAATAAAAAACCTCAACTGTTAAGTGAATTTCAACCTGAGTTTAGATGACCCTGTGTGTTGTGAAGCAGAATTGTGTTCCATAGGGTTTTCAATTGTTATGACATTTGAGAAGAAAAAGGCATTTCAACCGATAGGTTACTAACCCAGAGCTTGACTGTGCCACATAAGGACCACTATAAAATGTTTTATTTCTTTTTTCCCACTCATATTGAGTCAATTCCTACTCATTGTGAACCTGATAAGGTTTCTGACTGTAAATCTTTATTGGAGCATATTGTTGTTGTTAAGTGCCGTCGAGTTGATTCCAACCCATAGCGACCCTGCATAGGGTTTCTAAGGAGCAGCTGGTGAGCTTGAATCATCGAACTTGCAGTTCAAATAACTTTGCAATCTGTTGCATTAGCCCCATTAGCGCCACTCCAGGACTCCAATGGAACATATGTTGTTGTTGTTAAGTGCCGTCGAGTTGGTTCCAACCCATAGCTCACCCTGTACATGGTTTCCAAGGGTGTAAATCCTTACGGGAGTAGAAAGCCTCATCTTTCTCCCGCAGAGCGGCTGGTAGTTTCGAACCGCTGACCTTAAGGTTCACAGCCCGATTCGTAACCACTACGCTTATAGCCTCATCTTTTTTCCTGGGAGCAGTTAGAGAGTTTGAACTTGTGACTTTCTGGTTAGAAGGGCAATGTCTAACTCACAGTGCCTTCAGGTCTCCTTACTATAGATTATAGATCCAGCTTAATATTAACATGTTATATGCTGCCAAGTCAGCTCCAACTCTTAGTGACCCTATGCTCAGCAACACAACAACAACATAACACTGCCAAGTCCTGTATCATCCTCACAATTGATGTTATATCTGAGTCCATTGCCGCTTCCACTATCTCATTGGGGGTCAACCTATCTCATTGGGGGTCTTCCTCTTTCTTGTTGACCCTCCATTTTACCAAGCATAATGTCCATCTCCAAGCACAAGTCGATCCTATAACATGTCCGAAGTATGAGAGGCAAAGTACCACCATCCTGGCTTTTAAGGAGCACTTTGGCTATACTTCTAAGACAGATTTCTTTATTCTTCAGGTAGCCCATAGTACTTTTAATATTTTAATAATACAGTTTGGTTTTCTTAAAGGTGTCTTGGTTTAGTGTGAAACAAAACAGAGGCAGTTTAATATTAATATGTTTTTGTTGCTATTAAGATCTGTCGAGTCAGTTCCATTCATTGTGACCCAGTATAGGGTTTCTGAGGATTGACTGGTAGTTTCGAAGCACCAACCTTGTGATTAAAACTAACCTTGTGTTCCAGTGTTTATCCTAAAGCACAACCTCAGGACTCCAATGCTAATATAGTTGTTTTATTTATTTGTTTAAAGCACTATCTTCGTCTAATTCAAAACAGATAAGAGTATACATTACTTCTGAGATTCCAAAGGATTACTTTTTAACATAGCTGACTCACTAGGTTTGAACTTTTCTTTTTTCTTTCTGTGATGGTTTTACAGGAATATGAAGAATATAGTATATGGATTATTAAGATTTATGAAACACATCCCAAATCCTTCCAGTCAAATAGTCCCCCAGCTTTAATGATGATAGTGAATACAGCATGCTAGAGATTTCGTGATGAAAAGAGAATGAACAATGGTACATTAGAAAATAAAATATTAGGAAAGAAAGATTAGAAATGCCAGAACTAAAACAAAGAATCATTGTAATTATTTGTCCTAAACTTTTAATTTAGTTATATTTTGTAAAGGTGCTCATTTTAGCAATAGCTAAAGTTACAATCTTTCAATAGCAAAGGCCTAACTTATGAACTTCATACTCATTTAAAAAATATAACTAATTATAATTAACTTGCAATGTTATAGAGACTATTGAACAGTTGAGCTGTAAAATTCCTTTGCAGTTAATTTTCAGTGAAAATTCTAAACAATGAGTATAAAGTTTATTTATTTACTTGACAGTATATTTCATTTCATTCTACATGAGACTGTGGGGCCATATGGTGGTGTGGAATGAGAGACAATATTGCAAAGTATTCATGAATGGAAAACCATTCTTTTTTAAGGCCTAAAACTCTAAAGAGACTACTTCATCCATGGATTTAGAACCACTTTTGTAAAATAGTCTTTAAAACTTTGAAACATTTAATCTAGCATTTTGTTAATGTATAAGACACAGGTTTACACAGATGTTTTCAGTATACGAAAATAAAACTTGAAGAAATTTGAAGAAATGACTTTATTAAAAATAAAGGTTTGTAAAATTTTGAGAAAATTTCCAAAATTCGAACTGTTATACCTTTCAATCTCGCCCAACAGAGTTTGCTTGCCAACCCTCAAAATCAATCCATTTACACAAAATCCACTGAGTTGCTTTTTTCCTTCATTCCAAGACAGCATTGAAAGGATATATTTTATTTAAAATTATGATACTGCAAAGATGAAAACTGAAAATCTTTCAGAGTATCAAACCACCCATATTAACATAAATTAAAAATCCTTTATATCACAGCAACATAATAACATTTATAGAGTAGTTAGTATTTCACTAAGTCTAGCTTGTTGAATTACTTAAAAACAATAATTTGGAAAATACAATAAGAGTATTCAATAAGAAGATAAGTGGTGATCTTCATCCATGTGGCCATATTCTCTGTATTGCTTTCTTGAAAGCCTCTTTGACATCTTTGTTCCTCACACTATAGATAAGAGGGTTGAGTAATGGATTCAGCACTGTGTAGAACAGGGAAGCAACTTTGCCTGTCGTTGGGGTGAAGGTGGAGCTGGGCGTTGAATACATGAAGAGCATGGATCCATAGAAGAACAGGACTGAGATAACATGGGAGGCACAGGTGGAGAAGGCCTTGCGCCTTCCTGAGGTTGAGCGGATCCTCAGGATAGCCACGAGGATGTTGAAATAGGAAATCAATATGGCAAGAATATTGGAGAGG